GGGGGCAGGAGAGTGTTTGGTCACACGTCTTCTTGTCGGCGTTGGCTCTCCTCTAACTGCCCTCCTCTCTCTCGCTCTCTCTCCCTGCTGTTCTTGCTGTTGCTCCCCTTCTACATCACGTTCTCGAAGAGCTGCAGAGAGTGCATGATGTTCTCGTCCTGCACAGAGAGCACAGGGTTAGTGTAGGGACCAAGCTAGCGCAGAGTCCTCATTGATGACACGGATACAGACGCCCAGACAGGCACTAGATGGTGGAATGACATCACCTATCGGTCTGCCCTGAGAAGGAGGGCAAGGGAGGGCAGACAGAGAAGCTCTTTCTGCTGCACTTGGAGAAATACTCTGGCGTTGGACCGTCGGTCTTCACTAAAATAACAAATCTAGTCCCAGAATTCCCACTCCTGCCAGAATCAGAACAGCTTCCGATCCTACTGGGAGAGGAAAGTCAATTGAGCTGCAGCCCAGCGTGTGATCTCCTGTCACAGCCTGAGGAGCAGGGAGTCAGACTAATACTACATTTTCTGTTGTAAAGATTTTTTCATCGTCTTGTAATCCTCATGCCAAAAAAGATGTTTGAATGTGAAGAAGAGATGGAGGAGGAGAGAGAGGAGGAGAATAGAGAGCAGGAGGAGAGAGAGGAGGAGAAAGAGAGGGAAGGACAAGGCCAGATTCAAACCCAGACACGTACAGGGCACCTGTGTGAGCAGTACTGCAGGGAAGTTGTTTAACAGCACAATCAAAACCTGAAGTCTGTTACTGAGCACAAAACCCCACAGCCCTGTACTGACTGAAACAGTGCTCTGAGTCAGAGTCAGAGGGGTACAGAGTCCTGGGTCAGTCAGAGTCAGAGAGATACAGAGTCCTGAATGAGAGTCAGAAGGGCACAGAGTCCTGAGTCAGAAAGGCACAGTGTCCTGTGTCAGAGTCAGAGAGGCACAGTGTCCTGAGTCAGAGTCAGAGAGGCACAGAGTCCTGAGTCAGAGTCAGAGAGGCACAGTGTCCTGAGTTAGAGTCAGAGAGGCACAGAGTCCTGGGTCAGTCAGAGCCAGTAAGGCACAGAGTCCTGAATCAGAGTCAGAGAGGCACAGTGTCCTGGGTCAAGTGTCACACAGAGTCCTGAGTCAGAGTCAATGAGGCACAGAGTACTGGGTCACAGTCACAGTCACACAGTGTCCTGAGTCAGAGTCAGAGAGGCACAGAGTCCTGAGTCAGAGTCAGAGAGGCACAGTGTCCTGAATCAGAGTCAGAGAGGCACAGTGTCCTGAATCAGAGTCAGAGACGCACAGAGTCCTGAGTCAGAAGGGCACGGAGTCCTGAGTTAGAAAGGCACAGTGTCCTGAGTCAGAAAGGCACAGTGTCCTGTGTCAGAGTCAGAAAGGCACAGTGTCCTGAGTCAGAGTCAGAGAGGCACAGTGTCCCGAGTCAAGTGTCACACAGAGTCCTGAGTCAGAGTCAGAGGGGCACAGAGTACTGGGTCACAGTCACAGTCACACAGTGTCCTGAGTCAGAGTCAGAGAGGCACAGAGTCCTGAATCAGAGTCAGAGACGCACAGAGTCCTGAGTCAGAAAGGCACAGTGTCCTGAGTCAGAAAGGCACAGTGTCCTGTGTCAGAGTCAGAAAGGCACAGTGTCCTGTGTCAGAGTCAGAGAGGCACAGTGTCCCGAGTCAAGTGTCACACAGAGTCCTGAGTCAGAGTCAGAGAGGCACAGAGTCCTGGGTCAGTCAGAGCCAGTAAGGGACAGTGTCCTGAGTCAGAGTCAGAGAGACACAGTGTCCCGGGTCAGAGTCAGAGGGGCAGAGTCCTGGGTCAGGGTCAGAGTCAGAATCAGCAGTGTCCCGAGTCAGAGTCAGAGAGGCACAGAGTACTGGGTCACAGTCACAGTCACACAGTGTCCTGAGTCAGAGTCAGAGAGGCACAGAGTCCTGAGTGAGAAAGGATTGCCGTCTACAGAGCTTGTCCTTCAGCGGTGAGGAGTGAGACTGTTCCTGTCAGTAGTGTTTGGCTCTGTGTCCCTCCTCACCCATACCAGCACAGAAAGTGGACATACCTCCTGACATGATGCGATAAACTCATCCAGAGTGACCACTCCGTCCTTGTTTTTGTCCATTTTCTGTGAATAGACAGGCAGCGAGAGACAGGGAGGGATTAGAGAGACAGGAAGAGAGGAGAGGGACAGGGAGGGATGGAGAGGGGGAGAGAGAGGAGAGAGAGGAGTTCAGCACTTGTGCACATGATGGTGGACAATTGGGCTGCTGTAAGGTCAGGTACACAGGGTGTGTGATTGTGTAGCACAGTGCACAGTTGTGTAGTAGAGTACGCAGTTGTGTAGCAGCGTTAGTAGTTATGTAGCACAGTGTGCAGTTGTGTAGAGAAGTATATGGTTGTGCAGTTCTGCATTAGAGTATGCAGTTGTGTATTGCAGTGCTCAGATGTATAGTAGTGTACGTGGTTGTGTAGTAGAGTATGCAGTTGTGTAGTGGAGTGTGTGGTTGTGTAGAACAGTGCAGTTGTGTAGTAGAGTATATGGTTGTGTAGCACGGTGTCTGGCATGTGTAGCAGGTTCTCTGGCATGTAGTAGTGTATGTGGTTGTGTAGCAGAGTGGGCAGTTGTGCAGCGCCGATCCTGACCTGAAAGAAGGCGTCCACATGTTGCTTCGGGGCCTCCACCCTCAGCGCAGGGTAGGTGTACTTCCCCATCATGTCATAGATCGCCCGCACAATGTCCGTCATCTCCTGCAACACAGCCCGCCCAGTCAGCCAGCCCACTCACCGAGAGAGTCCCAGCACGCACAGCGCCCCCTGACCCCCGACCCCTGACCTCCTTGTTGATGTATCCATCCCTGTTGATGTCATACAGGTTAAAGGTCCACTGGAGCTTCTCCCGCACTGAGCCTCGCAGCAGGATAGAGAGAGCCATGACGAAGTCCTGCAGGGACAGGGAGAGGGGGAATGAGACAGAGACAGGAGACAGGAGGACTGCAGACAGGAGAAGCACTCGCAGGCGTGCGCTGCTCACCTCGAACTTGATCGAGCCGTTGTGCGCAGAGTCGAAGGCGTTGAACAAATAGTGTGCGTAGGTGCTGGC